GCGGCGGAAAAGAAAAGGTTAGAAGCGTTCGAAATGTGGTGTTATAGGCGGATGATGAGGATATCGTGGGTAGAAAAGGTTAGAAATGAAGAGGTATTGGAAAGAATAGGAGAACAGAGGACTCTATGGAAGTCAATAAGAAATAGGCGAAATAGGTTGGTAGGACACCTTCTCAGGCATGAAGGTCTAGTCAGAGACATATAAGAGGCAGAAACAGGAGTTGGGAGGGGTAGAGGTAGACCTAATATGAAGATTGGAAAAACTTTAGCGGTTGTTGTAGAACAAACAGAATAGCTCAAAACCCCAACGCCAAAACACGACACTGTAGTTGTCCGAAGCACTTTTCAGTCCCTGAAGAAGGTAACTTTGTTACGGAAAAGTGCTTCGGACAACTACAGTATCGTGTTTTGGCGTTGGGGTTTTGAGCTATTCTGTTTGTTCTACGTATTCTTTCCAGTTGTTAAAAATTTTAGTTTAACTTTTATAAACTTATCAAAAAACATCAAAATACTAAATTTGCTCAATAACAGATATAAGCAACCGAAGTTTTCGTAATTATACGTATCATCAATAAGCTTCTATTTTTAAATGGACAAATTAAGTTATTTTTTAAAACTTCGTACTAAATTTTTTACAAAAAATCTAACAAATTGATGATTAGCTCGTTAGTCTAAACGTTAACTTTTTGTTATGCAAATAACCTTATAATATATTAATATTACATATATGTAATTATGGCCAAACAGGGTGTTTTTAAAATAAGTAGCAAGCTTGGAACAGGGCGCAATAAAACGAGAATATCGAATTTGAAAGTAGAGTCAAAGTAAGTTCGGCCCTGGTAGTACCACGCAGAGAAATATATTACAAAGCCGCATTCAATCAGCTACTCAATTCCATGTCGAGGTGTAATTTAAATAGTACTGCATGCCATCAGCGATGAAGAAAGTAGTTATTTAATTAATTGTTATTGCAATGGGCGTCTAAAGATAATTATGTGTAGGAGCTGTTGATATTCACTTTGTTGTTCGTTCCACAACCGTCACTGTTTACATTTTTCATCGATGTACTTAATTGTTATCGCAGTTCTCTCTTCCTTCTCGAAAACAAAATTAAAAAGAACAGTATCAGTTCATTGTTAGTATCGAATTTACCCGACGTAAACAGCAGTTGCGATCTTATTAGGTCTCATTAACGTCATCAATTCTGTTGGACAAATATACGTTAGTAAGGCTTTGTCTAATTTTTATTGAATACCCAATTGACAGCATCAAACAGCTCTTTTGATTTGGTCAGTGGTTTATCGAGGCCGGCAATGGTGCGCTGATAATATCTAATAATAATAAGATAGAAATCGCGATCCACATTTAATGATGTAGTAATTGTTAGTAAAAGTTTAAGAGGAATTAATTAATAAGAAAGTAAACCCAAGCAAAGTACTTCATAATCATAAATATTCTATAATTTTTACCTATATTAAAATCATATCATCATTTAGCTGACTGAAAACAATTGAAGTGAATTTATGTAGGCTTTCGCGGTCGTCGCGTTGTTAAATTCGGGTTGTCTGACAGCCTGCAACTACAGCAGGCATTTTCAAGGGTGGCATCGTGGTCGTCTCGACCCAATTTCTTTCGATGCGTCGCATCTCAGTCTCCGGCGTTTCACCAAGCGACCTTCGAGAGAACTTCAATCAAAACGACCACCATGCTACCCTTGAAATTGCCTGCTGCAGTTGCAGACGAAACTCCGGGAAGAAATTTCCATAATTTTTTAATATTAAATTAAAGTAATCAAGGAAGGTATTGTTATTTCGTTTGAACGGGAGTTAAGGCATAGAATCCAAGTAGCACATGTGGCGAGAAATTATTTGGACGGAAGTTGAGGTGCATCCATTGTTATACCTCAAGGGTTGCATTTAGTAATGAAACATCGAGAGTAGCTACTCGTCCACCCTACGGATTTTTTTTTTAAATATTTTATCTTACCTGAGCACCCGGGGGTTCATCTCCACCTGCTTCGACTAGCAAAACCTTCCATTCGGGTATTTCAGAGAGCCTGCTGGCTACCACAGCTCCAGCACTTCCACCCCCAATTACCACGAAGTCGTACTCACATTCTGGCTGACTTCGCGGTATAACTCTTTGGCACACTTCGGATATGTCGCACTGATTTGTGATAAAACTATTCACCAATGTCATGAACACCACGAACGAACCGCCTCCGCAAGTGTTAGCCAGAGATGGACCGTACGTTGGGGCAATACAACCGCAATTCATTTTGTAATGCGACAACTTAACCGTGTAGCGGTTTCAAGACAAAGTGCTGTTCAAGTTTTGCTGTTAAAGATGAGAGACTTTAAATATATATCGAAGATGACGATGCGACGTCATCGGAAATCCAGGTTTCACGAACATGTTCCGGTTTTTCTGCGGTGCAGCACGACGCGGCGCGGCGATATAGGAACGGCGACTCACGAACTATGATACGCAAATATTTACCTGCTCAATTAAAATGAATTGTTCAGCAAAAAGTGGAATACGTACTTGTGGAAAATGATAAAATAAAAAACTGGAAAATTGTAAATGGCAATGCCCCCTGAGAATAGTTTGAAAAAAGTGATTTAAATATTGTAAATACGCATGCAGACATAGAAACGAAATAAATGAGCATAAATAAAAGCCACAAGCTATACTGGATTACCTTAAGTTGTCAAATTATATTGAAGAGGATATAGCTTAGGATAAATCATCACAAAATGTGGAATAAATTAAAAATCGTCTACTAAAGATCGACTTTACGTTACAGACTA